TCTCCTGCCAATTTTCAAGACTTTCCAATCCAATAACAATAACTCTGCAGACTTCGTGTAACGAAAACATAAACACATACACGCTACTTTCAACGCAAAATCTCACGAGCGAAGCTCAAGAATTAAAAGGAATAAAGGAAAAACAAATAATCCAGTGACGAGGCATGGCCGCCATAGCTTATGGTCCTCCGAAACCGGAAGCCATGGATCTCTATTAAATCCACGAAATTTATGTCGAGGCGGTCGCGTGGCCGTCGAAACGTGCCCGAAAGGGTATTTATCCCTCCCCCCATTCTCCACCCCTCTCTGCCCCACCTACGCGCGATCCACACGTTTGCATCGGGCAAACGAACGTTGACACACGGCCTTTTCGCCATTGTGCACGACGGGCACACAACACGCGTATATTGCGTTTTTTTTCCTTCTTCTCCTGTTGGATAATGTCTATGCGCCCGAAGCTCGTCAAACAAATCGCTGTTCAACGTGCGTTTTAATGAACGCGGTATTCGATTTGGAATGGTGGACGCCTTCGGGGCTTCGAGGATTTAAAACGAAACGAAATATCGTGGAAAAGCTTTGGAGGGGGGAGGGGGATTGTGTGTAATACGGTTCCTTGGATAGATTTGATGAGGATTCGAGGGTATTGATGCTCGGGATCGATGGGTATATCTAGTCGCAGTGTGGTTGCGTTTGGTTGTTTTCTAGGTTAGGTTCTGTTCCCTTTTGTTATTATTCTGTTGCAAAGATTGTAGGAATATCGAGAAGAATGGAAATGTATTAGAATATGGTGGAGGATTGTTGGAACGTGAGTTAGAAAAGAAAGAAATGAAAATGAATTTAGAAAATCTAATTTTAATTTTAATTCTTAAACCATAATTAAAAATTGTATTATAAGGTATGAAGGTACGTATAAAATCTCAATGAAGGAATATATAAATGTACACATTGTATAATATGCATATTTGATATTTTTAATACTCAATTGACAAGAAGAAGGTTACAATAGATTTATAAATCTACTTAGAGAATCAAAGGGAAATATTTTATTATGTTGATGAGGCTTGAACATTCTTCATCTCAACGCGTAATTGCATACAATTCATAAAGTACCTTCATATAATACAATTAATAAAAATTGCAAAATAAAAAGAAAAAATTGTCATTATAAATATCTTCTCTCGTGCAACACGAAGACTATCCCCACTCAGACGTCTCATTTACCTCTTACTCTTGCGGAACAATATCCCGAAAAAATTGGAACCAAGAAAAACTCGTACAACGAACCACTCCTCCATCCGTTAACCATTTCATCTCGTCGGAACCACGAACCCTCATCGTATAAAAATACCTCGAAACACAACGAATGGAATAAAGGAAATGATGCAACGTCGTGGCCACCGATTCCATTTTGCAACAGGAATTTTTTAATAAAACTAAAGAATGAAACGTCTTGTAATACGGTAATTTTTTTGAATGTATCATACCTTGACCCTTATCAACCTCTATCAACGAGAGTCTGTTGTCTGAAAACGATCGAAACGAAAGAAGAAGAGGATAGAAAGGTGCGTGGGCGTCAATTGTGAATATTTGAGAAAACACAGAGGCATAAATAAGTGAAGGGGGGAGTCCAAGGGGACGGAACTGGTCCCCTAAAGATAGGAAGAGTTTAATTACTCGAGTTCCGTTATCGTTGCGGTACAAGCATGTTGCATTTCGAGAAATTCGAAATGCACCGGTGCCTTTTCACTGATAAATACTCTCTTAACGGGTTCAACGGCTGGGGGACCATCGAGGAATTGGTTGGTTACTTGATAGTTGGAGTTTGAATTGGATTATACACAAGTATAATATACTTGTGGAAATATGTTGGTATTTTTTTAAATTTATAGTAATTTTTTGGAAATGGGTAAGATATCTTGATATTGGATACATAATATATAATAATATAATTATAATATATAATAACATAATAATATAATAATATAATTATAATATATAATAATATAATAATATAATATAATTGGATGATATTGGATAAATATTGAATACAATTAAGATGATGGAGATATAAATAAAAAGTATATATGGACGAATAAATGTTATGATTGTAATAAATGTTATTATTGTAGGGAAATTTTATTAATATAAATTTAATATATCATTGCTAAATTTTTTTCGTTTCTTCTGGAAAAATACATAATCTTAATTTCGATTAAGAAAAAAAGAGAAATAGCAAGTTTTATTATTCGACGATTAAATTATTGGCAATATTGAACTTTGTGAACTTTTATTTATCTTTTTCTTTGTTTTCAGATTTATTGAATAACGAGGTGAAATGAGAGCCTCTGGTCAACGATCAATTCATAGAGGATGCGATGTTATCGTTTAAATATCGATAGTTCCATGTCAATCGGTCTTCTCGATACTGAGGCTGACACCTCTGGGAAATTTAATTTAACGCTTCGCGAATTTCGACGGTGAAACGCTGATTCTTTCTGAAACGATGCACATCCTTTTCTCTCGTGGATAATATGATGTCTAGGCAAATCTATTCCACCTTCGTTTACGTAGTTCGATTAATTTTAAGAAAAAAAGCCAAGATAAAAGAGGATCGTTCGACGAGAGATAAACAACTGAAGTACTTTCAACTATAAAATAATGATATTCGATAATATTGAAGAATTGTAGAATTTAAAAAAAAAAACAATTGATAAAGAAATTAAAAGAAATATCGATATCAAGAAAATAGATGCACAAGATAAATAATGCAATTGATAGAATACAAAATTCTAATAACTTTTTTTATAAACAAACAAAATCTTTTTTCCTTTTATCGTATTCAACGTTAGAATTCGATATCGATTCCTCGGATCTTCATGGTCTCCCATCAACCGAGGTCCTCCCCTAACGACCAATATTATCAACATGATTTATTTGGAAGTTTTCGAGGCTGCATACTTAGGTTATTACTGTCATAAATTCGAAACACGTTTCTCCAACGGTTGATACCATGCCTGACCTACCTCATCTTGAAATATGAGAAACTTGGCGAAAAGTCTCTATAAAATATTCCCTCGGTCCTCTTACATTTTTTCCACTCGTATTCTAACCGTACACTGTTATTCTCCTTTCGCGTATACAGTATATATTTACTCTTATATTTTTATCGATACGAGGGAATTGTTGAAGATGGAAATATTTGTGTATACGATAGGATAAATATTATGCACCAACGATAATATTTTATTGAAATATTCTCTTTATCGTTAAATATTATTTGATTTATCAGGAAAAGGAAACAAATAGATGCATAAAGAGAAAAAATTAACCCTATTTGTGAAAAAAAGATTTAAAAAATTGCACACTTTAAAGAAAATAATACACTACTATTAATAAAATAATCTTGCATTTTGCAAACAATTTTCACTCCTCCGTTCTCCGAAAATATTTCGTTTCAACGGTTAAAACTAGATACGCGATTTTATATTTTAATGTTTATTGCACATTCGATTTCAAATTAAATTTTATTTCAACTAACGCGATAAGGAAAAACGTTCTACATTTATCGTACAGTAGAGATAATACATATACATATACATATATATATATTTCAGATAACATTAATAGAACGTTCGAATATTAAGATTAATACCAATAACGAAAATTGCTACTAGTAAATAATAAAAATATAACGTTGCCTTTCGAAATATTTTTCTAACTCGTCCATTTTAACATGGAAACGACTGGAAGGGAGTAACGGTAACGGAGGCTCGTTAATGGAACGCCGGAAGACAAATGCGTTTCTCGATACAAAGCATTAAGAAACTCGTTACAACGGGGACCTGGAAAATAGGTGGAACTTGGGATGCTATCGGTTTCGTTGCTGGCCCTAGCGATGGGAGTTGCAGTTTGTCTCGTCGATTCCCGCAGTTTCGCGATAGCTTGCCTTGCTGCGGTCAAAAGTCGAGGGGGGAGAAAGGCAATTTACGCGACAACGGCACCGATGGACGTTCGATCCTCTCCTCTCCCACTAGGATTCGTGGTACGCACCATAGTTCGCATTGTTTCGAAATAAGAGAAATAGTAGTGTCGCACGTTTTTCCACATTTTGTCCTCGTATGGGAATTTCTTTTTAATTGGAAAAAAGATCTGTTTCGAATATTAATCGAAATATCGTAACATTTGCGCGCAACAATATAATATTACAATATTATAAATAATATTACAATATAATTTTACAAAATAATATTACAATATAATATAAATAATATTACAATATAATTTGCTGAATCGAAGAAATTAACCACTTGACCCCTCCGATCCCTAAGTGAACCGAAAACATGTTATCCGAAACAATACTCGATAAACTAACCCTATACAATATCCCTGCACACCAAAAAGTCCGAATGAACTACTAAAACCCACAAGAAACTCCTTAAACCACCATACCAGTTCGCACAAACCACCGTCACCCAAACTTCTCCCTCCCCCAAACTTCCTCCTTAAAACACCATCAACAACAACAACAACAAGAAAACCTCCTCGATACCTTCTTGTTTCAAAACGTTTAATCGTTGGCGGAATCCGCGCAATTAAGGCGAATTAATGAGTCTTATCGGATGGTGGCCGGTTTTTCGGTGCTCGAGCGAAGCAACAGCTAGTAGGGGGCGGTTTACAATGTGTCGCGTGGACGGAGAGAGAAATAGAGAGGGAGGAAGGGAGGGAGAGATAGTTTGGAAAGGGTTGGAGAAGAGAGGGAGCGAGACGGAGGCAGAAATGGCAGCGGAGGAAGGAGAAGAGAGAGAGGTTGGAGTGGAGAGAGAGAAGGGGTTGGAAAGGTGGGGAGAGCCGGGGAGGGAGAGGAGGTGGAAGGAAGGAGAAGGACGGAGAATGTCTGTCGTGGCGGTAGTAGCATATACGGTGGTTTAACTCGCGGGGAAAACTCTGAGAGCACGAGCTCGCGATCCTCAGTCGCGTGTGACACGCGGCCTTAGGTAGTCGTGCTGCTCTTGAATCGTCTCGTTTGCGTGGCCGCCTTCGTGATCGCGATCGCGTTCGAGGATAGATCCTTCCCTCGACGTATAATATCGGTGGGAAATCGGTGGATCTCGAATAGTTTGGTATTTTCGTGTTTGATTCTGGATCTTTTTTTTTTTTTAAGAAGATTGTAGAATAGTCGAAGATTATTCGGGATTATAATATCATATCGGTGGAGAAGGTGGTATCGAATTTTTATTTTGTCGAGACGAGATTGAAGAAAATTTATTCTTAGATTCGGTGGTTTTTGAGTTTAAAATTTTCACATTTGATACAAGATCGAATTTTTTTATTCGTGAAATTGATGAAGATTGGATTTTATGCGTGGATTCGAATCTCTTATTCGTATTCCAGTGATTGCTGAGGAATGTAAATCGCGTGTATTCTTTGATTTTGCGAATTTCGTATCTACGAAGATGGTAGATGATTCCCGAGTTTTAAAGATTCGAGTCGAAAAATTAATATTTGTGTGAAAATAGAGATCGGCAGTGTTAAATTTCATCTCGAAGTTTGAATTTTCAAGGATGGAAATCTGAAGTATTTGAATCTAAGGAGTTTGTCGTGAGAAACCTGTGACCGAAGTGCAAAGTTTCCTGGATCTTAAAGACATTTGAATATCGACTTCGACTGTGAAGATTTCGCTTCTAAAATCGGCGAGTGATCGTAGACGATTCGAAATAGAACCGCAATTTAATCCAATGAAATTTACATAAGTTTATTCTTACGAATTTTGAAGACTTCTACTAATCGCCGAAAATAGGATCTAAAATTGTCATTGTCGTTTGACAAACAACATACGAAACGATTTATCGTTTACTCGCGCTCGAAATTCAATGTTAAAAACGTAATAAAACGAACCAAACTACTGTTTGAAACTATTTGAATCTCAAAAATTTTCTCATTCAAGCATCAATCTATTTAAATTAATATTTAAATTTACTCGAAACTTAATTTCAAAGAAACCGTAAAATCGTAACAACACATAGCATTTTTCAGCCAATATACAAAATTTTAAAACATCGCTCGATAAATCCCAAAAAACTTCTAGACGGGAAATCTACTGCCTAAACGAAAACCACAATTCGTTGCAATTTTACCAACGGGATCTTTTACCAACTTCCACCGCCTCGACAAACTTTTCCATTAACAAGACGAGAGACGAGAACAAAGACCAACCAGCGTCCGTGCATCCGTGAGAAAAGTGTTGCAAATTCTCTATACACGCTTCCATTATACCGCTTGATTCGTAGGAAAAGTCATTATCAACAGTCTCGATCGCAACACGTTTGACCGCCATTAGAAATCGATATATAGGATCGAGGATAAAGAGATTATAAATCCCGCGTGATAGACGATGAATATTTCATGGGAGACGAGGTAGAGGGAAAACGATATCCTCTCCAAGGATTTATAACGATGCGTGTGAATGGACTGGATGGAATCGTTTCGAGACGTTTGACGAGAGTACCTGGTGAAACAGGAAGCGGAGGATGCAGGTACGTTTGGAAAGGGGTGGAAAGCGTAATCTAGATAATGTTTGACAAATGATAGTGCATGCGTGCAGGAGCGATATGTTGAGAGGGATTTCTCTCTTTTGTGGTAGAGAGAGAGAGAGAGAGAGAGAGAAAGAGAGAAAGAGAATTTGAAATACTTTGATTGATAGAAAATTTTGTATATAGAGACTTGAATCGAGTTGAATTGGTTAATTGGTTAATTGATAGTCGAGTTATGACGGTGAATAAGGGAGATTAAGTATTCGAAGAGGATAAGAGGAAGGTGACAATAATTGTGGAAGTGGAGGATGAAGAAGAAATACATGAAAGGGGATGGAAAATGCTGGATTTTGGATACATGATAAACGATTAATAGTAGTGGTATATCGTAGAAATCATCATATTTCTATTATAGATCTTATTCAAGATTTAAATAAGGATTAAAGAGAGATTAAATAAAGACTGAAATTGAGTTACAAGAATTACGACAATAATAAATGATATCTTGTTAGAAATTCGGAATTTGGAACTGAAAATATTTATCTTATATTTATTTATAAAACGATCTTTCGAGAATATACTGGAGAATCTCTGGAATCCACCAGAGAGAATTCCCCTCATCGAAAATTCTAAATCCAGTCAGGGAGGGTGATCGATGGGGAAGTAAAGATACGACGATAAATCTTTTGATCCAGGTGAAACAGAGGACAACGGAAGTGGAGGACGCGTACAAGAGGAGTTACATTCGAAACTGGAATGGGAACTGCAATCTGGACGTTTGATAAACGACAGAGCTAGCAACGTTTCCACGGAAACGAGTCTTGCTTGCACAAAAAAAAAAAAAGAAAGAAAGAAAGAAAGAAAACTAAAATTCAAAACACTTCCATCGAAGATATCTCCCCTTCCTAAATATTCTAAACCGAAATAGATACGAATTATACAATCAACGTTGAAATCAAGTCAAATCGCGATAAGATCCGTGATTCCTCGAAGCGGAAACGGCATTCGAAGAGCGAGCTAACGAAGTAAGAAAAGAAAAAAAGAAAAAAAAAAGGAGAGATCGAAGCTTTTTCTAGATATTCCACGACTTCTCTCGAGCGAATCTTTAATCGAGGAAGAAGCGAGGAATCTCGAGGAATCGATTCGAGAGATCGAGCGGGCTCGAAGAAATCCCTCCGCTCCTGGACTTGAATGGACAATAATATTCGTTATCAAGCGTGTCGGGGAGGATCGCGCGTGTCTCTGTCACGTTTCGATCGTGGTTAAACCGATGGTGAACGACGAAGCGTGACCAGGTGCCGGAAGTTCTCTCCACGTCACTTTCGCTCGACCAACTATCTCGCGGAACATGACACGCTCCACGAATCCGTGATCGCGATGGAAATAATATTTGGGGGGATTTGGTGGCAATCTGCGCCGTTTCTTTGAGAAAATTAGGCGGAACCGGGTTGTTGGAGGAGGGACCGGAAGTCGAGGATGCTCGATAAACGCTTCCTGGTGTAACACTCGAAACTAGCGTGTACGTTTTGGGACTACGGTGATCTCGTTTCGTTTTTCTAGGTTAAAAGGTGAAAGAAGAGGCAGAAAGAATCATGAGGGATAAATTTGCATTCAGCGTGAGTACCCAGAGAGATATTGGATTCTGCGTTTATTTTAGGAGGCGAGCGTGACATCGATGCTAACCGATCGATCGCTTTGTAGATGTATTTTCGAACCGTTGTAGCGGGTTGAGAGAATGAATTACATATAAAGTTGTTCCTCGTAACCGTGTGCATTTTTAAGACGGCGAGAGATCCGAGTTTGAGACGGATGGGCCTGATTTTGTATTCATGGTGAAATGGAATTATCGGTTTAAGTTGGGGATAGTCATTGCAATTGTGTCACGCGATGAATATCTTATTTGCACAGTTTACTCCGCGATATATCTAATTATGCCCTTTTCCCTTATCTTTCTTTCCTTCTTTCTTTCTTTCTTTCTTTTTTGTTTCGTTGATTATCGTTTCACAAGATTTAAATTTTTAAGTTTTCTCGCGATATTTTTGTAGCACAACGAAGGATTTTTCTTAAATGTTTTTCTCTCTAAACATCGTTTATTAGTTGTATTTGATTTTCAGTTATATTTTAATTCAATCTTTAATATCTATCTCTAATTGTAAGATTACTAATATCACAATGTTTATGAAAATAGGAGTAATTGGTAGATTAGATATTTTATTTAAATTAAAATATTTTCTCTTCTTTGTATTTTATCACTCTAATTATCATCATTGTTTTCACAAATTTCTTTAAACAATCAAATGAAAATATATTCAAAGATAATCTCATAGATAATCCTATAATTCCATTTTACCGAGTAAATATTTTCCCTTCGCCTTTTCATCTAAAAACGTCTTCTTAATAAATATTTCATCAGTGATAAATCTGAAAACGCTTTATCATTCCTTCCATAAATTAATAACAATAGTTAAAAAACATTCCACTGTCCATCTTATTATTCCACTGTCCATCAAAATCCATTTTACTTTTAAATTAAAAATATAAAATATACTATACTTAAAAAAATCATATTATCTCAAAATTCTCGATGATGCAAATGTAATTACCTTTCTCTGCACTGAATCGAAATATACAAATTAATTCAATACCGTTGGAGAAAGTTTGAGGAGAAACCTTGCAATAATTACTCCTGGCGCAAAACTGGTTTTACGATTTCACACGTAGCCTATCGAACAGTGTTAATTACCATCGATTAAACGTATGAAAATTACATACGTATTAACGCGAAATGATAAAATATAAACGGTAAAACAAGCTCCTGATTGTGAATACTCGATCCATTCTACATTTTATATTATATTATATATTTTATATTATGTAATAATAGGTAAAACCCAATAATTAAACCCGATAAGGGGAATATTGTACATATATTTGTTCGGTACACATCGAGCAATTTCCGGTAACTAATAATTCGACGTGTACATATTTACAATTCAAACTCGTTCCGCTTATGATTTTATTTACGTAAGATCATGAATTTTAATCTCCTTTTTATTATGCACGATGAATAGCACGTTCAATCGTTAGAAATGCGTAAAACATCTTGAAATTATTAATTTTTAGATTTATAAACTGGTGGAAAAAAAGAAAATAGATTTTTATTAAATATTTATTAAATATTTTAATAATATAAAATAATTTTAATAATTTTTACTAAATATTCTTATTCAATTTGTTAATTATTTAATAGTTTTAATTCATTATTCCATTTTTCGAGAGAATAAAGGATTTTGCAATTAAATTTTTGTTTATATTAGCAAAATTATATTAGCAAAATTAATTATATTAGCAAAAGTATCGGATATACATATATTTCAATTAATGAAAATTCAGAATTATCATCATATTAAAAATAATCTTTGCAATCAATAAAAGAAATTTCAATAGTACTTAGGAAAGTAACGTGCCTTTCTCTCAAAAAACAAAAATAATTTATCCTACATCCATAACACAAAGGTTTACGTATCACCTTATCACCAATTCCTGTTCACCGTTATTATTATCAATGCACATTGATGCAATTAATCATTCTAACTCGATTCTGAACAATGTGATTTACAGTCAGGGGTGCCGGACATGCACGAGACCCTGTCCAGTTTTTCGGAACAGTTCAGGGACGGGCCGACGAAGCCGGAAATAAAGCCGGAAGCAGGTAAGGAGACGGAGAGGACCGCGGAGCCGAAGTGCGGTTGGTTCTGGTTCAGACCCAAATATTTGCAACGATTTCGAACCGCGAAATGGGCGCTCTTCTGGTTATGCTGGACAGGTGCGATGCAAGGTATGCAATTTAAATTTGATCTCCGGAATAAAACTAATTTTAACATTGACTTCGATTCATTTTCGAATTTGTTAAAATTTACAATATTAATTTACTCAGGAAGAAGGAGGAATCTTATCGATTTTCTTTTATCTCGAACAATTAATAATTCTTTAACAGCTTTGTGAAAATGTTCAATTATTTGGAAAACGCGATTTTCCCTAAACACTCGATCAAATTTCCCCCAGAGCAATCATTGCAGCTCTCGTATCGAAAACGTGTGCCGACGTCGATCATAAATACGCGACATTTAACCACAAACAATATTTCGTCGCTCACTGGAACGAATCCACGGGTTCATTTTTCGTATGCGTAAACAGGCCGTGCACGCAGACACGCGGGTCCCAAAGCTGATTGACTCTGATATCGCCGTTTGCCGTTACTAATAGCCGTGCATTCGAATGCAATTTCGAAGCTTTCACGGTGGCGCGAAGAGGGGAGGGGAGAGGGGGGTGGATAGGGTCGACGGTGACTGACGATAACCGGAAATCGAGTTTTCCGGCCCGGTGGCAGGAGGTTGACGCGCTGGAGGGTGGTGCACGTCGACGAAAGGAGAGCGGATCGAGGCGAAAAGGGCGGCGAGACGAAGGTCGTCGACGTTGGCTAAAAGGGGTGGAGGAAAGGTTGGAACACGGTAGCCGTATTCGGTTTAAATAAGTTTGTTCGTCCCCCTCCCCTCGCTGCTCCTCTACTCGGCCGACAAAAGAAATCGTCGTGTGGAGGTTCGTGCCTTCTTCGAGGCGAACGGGATTGAACAAATTGCTGGACAATGGAGCCGGCAATCGTCTGTACGTAAGTCGAGAATAAGGCCGGTGGTGAGTGGTGCTCGTGCACGCAGGGTTATGAGAATTCGGATGTTGTAACGAGTATTAACGTTTCACTATTGGATTCGTGTATGAAGTTAAAGGATTTCTTTGTTTTTCCTTTTTTTTTTTTTTTTTCAGTACTTTGAGAATTGGTAGAGGGGAAGTATGGATTAAAGAGGAATGTTTTTTCTTGTGAAAAATAAGAAACGACAGTAGACAATTTCATTACTTAGATTACAAAAATCTTCTCACAAATTCTGTCTTCCTTAATTAAAATTATCCTATCCTAGGATATTTCTTAGGATATTTCTTAAGGATGGAATAATTCTTAAGCAAAAATTCAGATTTCTTCATTTGAATACATTTTCAAAATACCAAGCAGAAACAATTGATTGAAAATTATCTTCTATCCGATATATGTATTACACACAAGTATTATTCCAATCCCTGTTAAATCATAATCATCCATCCTCCTCGCATCGATCGATCGACGTAAGAAGAAGCGAGACACAAAAAACGTGCGCGCATAGAAGAAGAGGGAGGAGTGTCGGCCAGCAGCTGGAGAAACAAATTATCCGCGCTGCACGACCGGTTTTAATTAAAATTCTCCTATTAGCGGTACAATGGGAAACGAAGGTGGTTCATTTTCCGGGTGGACAGACACCGGATACGCCGACACTCGAGCCAGGCCTCTTGCTGGCCACGGCCGTCTGTGAACGCGTTAATTCGATGGATGTTGTAAGGTTGGTGTGGGAGAGACGAGTTAAGAGTGTTACTTAATTGTTCGAGGTGCAGTTTGGTTATCTTGGGTTGCTAGTTACTGGGAAGAAATTGGTTTTCGCGGTAGGTTGGACTGGTTCTGGTTGCCCGATTTCGTCACGTTGAAATTAGTTAGATTATCATTTAAATTAGTATATATATATATATATATATTTTGTATTTGGTGTATTTTTATTTATTTGGTTGAAACTTGGTTTCATATTTCGATAGATTTCGATAAAACTGAAAATAAATATGAAATATTTTTCGAACGATGTTTATATTAGAAATGCTATTATTTTTCTTCTGTGCCATCAAAAATGATATGAAAGTGCATAAAGTGATTCTTAAATATTTTAATAAAAAATATAAATTGCAAAAATATGAATCATAAATGGGTATTTACATAAAGTAATAATGAAATAACGTTTCGTTCGTGGAATAAAAGATAGTGTTAAAAACAAAATTTCGAGAGTTAGATCTCTTTATTTTTTATATTAGAATTATTAAATTTCCACTAGAAACACGTCGACTAAACTGAAAATTAATTCCAAATTAATTCAAAAAAGTCAATCGAAATATATATCTCACAAATAATACAATACACCAATACTTCCAAAAACTTAAATAATCACCATACACATTTTTATTGTTCAACAACAAACTACTATATACCTTCTAAACAATCTGAATCTAAAAGGCGGGAGAAAAAAATTTCTATTCTTCCATTGAAAAAAATAATTCCAATTTTTTTTTTTTTTTTTTTCCTCTCCCACCAACCGTAACCAATCCGCTCGTTAAAACGACAACCCCGGCGGAATCCAAGCATCAAAAGGGATCCGCGTCGCGGAAACCTCGAACCGTCGCATCCGAGAGGATTCTCCCAGAGAGAAGATTCATTTTTTCGATTGTCAGAGAACGGTTGAACGCTTTTGTCAGACGATACTGCTACGACGATACTGGCTCCGCTGGTTTGTAATTCGACGCCCTGTCAACGCCTGCTTCCATCGTACCATCGTGTACCGGAGCGTGGGCACCGGTTCGATTCAGAGGCGATTAGCAGCCTATGTGTATATTCGTGAGAAAGAACTGTTTAACAGATTTACAGGTTCGAGAGAGAGAGAGAGAGAGGGATTTCTTGGAGGGTGAGCGGGACACTGGGCGTAGGGGAGACTTAATTGAATTAGTTCACCCCCCTTTTGATTCATTTACACGCGGCACGCGGATTTGCTCTCGAGTATGAGTATCAGGGAGATCAACTGTGTTTCGAATTTGAGAATGGGGATCGAGTTATTATTAGGATGGCCCCAATATTCCTATCGATCGTATCCTGAATGTTTAACTTGGCCAGGATCGATGGATATTATCGATAATATCGTTCGAAGGTTTAGGCTCGTTTGTTCGATGAGATTGGAGGTTGAATTTTTTAATGAAAAAGCTAGAGAGATTCTTTTCTTTTTCTTCTAGCTATTAGGGATTAAATTATATTAAATTAATTAGTTCGAGAAGCAAGCTTTTAAGCAAATTATCCAGTTTAATCTATTAAGTTATTGTGATTTTTTAAGGGATTTTTTAAAAAAATCTGGATTCATTATCGATGTTAATAAATAAAAGTATTTCATTTTCAATGTCCACAAACGTAATTCTGAATAACAATTGGTCAGAATTTTATTCTAATATAATGCTACGTGCGTTTTCAGGGATGGTGGTGAACGGTTTCGTGAACGTGGTCATAACCACGATAGAGAGGAGATTCGGTTTGAGGTCGTCTCAGACAGGGCTGATAGCAGGCGGATACGACATAGCCAGTTTCCTTACCCTCGTTCCAGTCAGCTTCCTAGGAGGACGCTCGAAAGCGTCGAAACCGAGGTACATATGCGCTCGAACACGTTATTCGCGTATAAGCTATTGTCACGCCTATTAATATTAATACCGATATCGATCCACCTCGACAGTTCTCATAAATATTAATCCTAACGTCAGCCGGACCAACAGCGTTAATTTCCATTTCCAGTTCCTTCGACACTTTCGAAACCCTCGATCCTTGATCGATAATCAATAACAATTTGAATTAAACTAAACGAGGTTAATCTTGAAAATGAAAGATTGAATATTTATTATCCTAGAAGAGATTTTTGAAGAAATTTCGTTTTTTTAAAAATTTGTCGATTTTGATGAATGAAATTTTTGGAAAAATTGGACTCGTATATTAATTGGTTAGTAAATAAGAATATAATACTTTTTTTGAGAAATTAGTAAACAAGATTTTTGGATTAATTTTTGTTCTATAGGTACATAGGAATAGGTGTTCTAGTCTTAGGCTTAGGAAGTCTTCTTTTCGCATCCCCTCATTATATTGCCGGACCATACAGGGGTGGGCAACAGTCGGAAAATATTTGTCAAAGGGTGACGAATACATCCTCCCGTTCGGTAAGCGATGATTGATTCTAAAGATTGGAATTTTTTGATTCTGATCTTTGTTATAAAATTGTAAGATTTGAAATAAATTTTTCGAAAAATATCAAAGTCGAGAAGAAGAAATTGAGTAATATTTTTATAGAAATAAACATTGGACAGATATTAATTTGGAATAAGTTGTTTCGACCAGCAATATACTTATCTTTTTAATCTAATTATTTTATTACCCGAGCTCAATTACTGGAAGACTTGTGTCTTTGATCTTTGAAGAGTAAACATTCAATTAGATGTAAAGGATAGTGACAGAGTTTATGGATCTCGTCCTTTGTAAAAGCAAGATCCATCCTTTTACATACACTAATAGAATGTCATCTTCGTATATGCCTTAATTTATCGTCGAATTAATTCTTATTTCGAGTAACTAAATTTAAAAAGTATAAAGATAATTCACTTATCTTCACGATCGATCAAAAACTTCGTAGACTTAACCCATTAACTTTTTCCTTGGAACAAAAAAACTAGATCGACATAAACAATATTTCAAGCCAATCGTTTTTTCTTTTTTTTAATTCTAATATTTTAATTATAATATTTTTTTAATTCTAATATTTTAAGATTTTTAAGAAAGGTCAGGCAAAGATAAAATATTAATTATTTTATCTATTAATTAAATTAATCTCGATTCGCTAATATATCTTTGCCATTCAGCTATCTTGCAGCGGATCAGTGGGCCAAATAGATCAAGAACCATACAGTGGATTGTACTTAAGTATCTTTCTGATAGCTCAACTTCTACATGGGGCTGGCTCTGCTCCTTTTTATACGCTTGGTGTTACGTATCTAGATGAGAACGTGTCGAAGAAGATGTCCTCTGTGTATGTAGGTAAGAAATCTGATATTAATTAATTAATTTTTTCTTCTTGTTATTATTACAAATTTTCAAGTATTTTTGGCGAAATATTAATTTTATATGTGTTGTTAATTTGAAAAGATTGGAAGATATTAATTTAAAAGACAGGTTATTTCATTTAAGTATGTAAATTCATTGTACATTTATAACTTTTCTTATTAAAAAGATCCAAGTTCTCTCAACATAAAATAAGCTAAACTTTTCAACTGTACTGTACCTACTTGACAAGTACTTACTTGATTTAACTTGGATATCCCGCAATAGCTCTTTGAGAATTGTCACATTCTATTGCCGCACTCGTTGCGCTTGCTTCAAGTTCTGAGCATTGTATATACTTTTGAAGTTTGAAGTTTCAAGTGCCATCTTGTATAGGACAATCAACGTGTAATTGATGTTAAGAATTTAATTGTTTAAGAAATTTGAAATTACGCTTTATGCTCTTTTCAACTATTATCTTTGTATAGTAAACTATAGAAATCTTTTTCAACATTTATTTATAAAATTAAATTTCTTGTATGATAATAAATCATTATAATATTCGACGAGTTTTAATAAATAATTTACATTAAATTTTTACAAACCATCAAACGATTTTAAATATCCTTTTCTGTTTAGGAATTTTCTACACAATGGCCATAATAGGACCTGCGTTAGGATACGTGGTTGGAGGTGAATTGTTGAAGCTCTATACAGATTTTATCACCGTGGATCCATCAAAGTGAGTATTTTTTTAATTATGCTAATTACATTTTACATAGCACGCTTTTAAAATTATATTTAATACTTAGAACACGGATACGTACAAATAAACTGAAATTTTGCATTGTGCATTGTGTGCACAAACGAAATTACCATTCGAATCTGCTAAAAATTTATTATCCACGTTCCAATGATTATAATATAATATATAGAAGAAATAATTGAATACATTATTAATATTATTATTATTCGTTAATTCCTATACTATTTTAGAAAAAAAAACTTCCTTGCTCGTATCAAAATCAGCCCAACATAAACGTTTAAAATTGGCTGGAACGAAAATCTGGCAAGGGTCACTTAAATACCACGCCTCCCTAAATATCAGCCTCACCTTTAATCACATCTCCATGAAAAACGCCATCGCCCCCTAAAAGATCATTACTATGGTCACAAAAAAAATATCAAAGACCTTTCATATTTCCATCTCCAATCTTTAAATACAAATCGTGAACAAAACAATCTCAAATCCGTCGAATTAAAATAGAAAAAATATGGAAAAGGAAAGAAAGGAAAAATCCATCTCTTGGAAACGTTAACGTCTTTAAACGTTAAGATTAAAATTGCGGAAGAGGATCCATCGCGGTGGAAGAATTGAATGGACAATGGATTGAAAGTTGTCCGCGTTCATTTCGCCATAAAGAGGGTTCATAGTCGGCGAAATGCCGATGGAGAATGACGTTTAATGGGCGCGCCATCGGAATTTGTCGCCTCTCGTGTCGCCACGCGTTTAAACACGTTTCCCGCTTTTTCCTTGTGCGGGGGCGGAGGGGCGAGGTAACTTTATTAAATTCTCGACACGATTTATCGGCTGTTTCGTCCCACTATCCGGGGAAACAGATATGTGGTCGCCACTGTACATTACTATTTATCATTAGTGGACCGTTTAATGGTGGAAATTTACCGTTGCAGGATAGTTTATTATCATTATTATTATTATTAGAGACCAATAAATTCTTCGAGATCCTATATCTCGTTTCTTATAAACATTTTTTCGAAAATTTTGCGAAACAATATTAAGACGAACCGTTTAATGGTGGAAATTTACCGTTGCAGGATAGTTTATTATCATTATTATTATTATTAGAGACCAATAAATTCTTCGAGATTTTATATCTCGTTTCTTATAAACATTTTTTGGAAAATTTTATAAAACAAAATATTAAGGCGAATAATCGAAAAGAAAATTTAAGAAATTTTCCTCGTTCCTTAATTTTAATATATAATATACCAATTCGAAGAATAAAATCGAAAAATCGTAAAGAATACCCTTATCAACAAGCCTGCCGCTATGTGTAACTGTGACAGGTACAGAGGAAAGTCGCGTGTTCCAACCGAACAGTCGACATCCGGTGATACGCAAATATGAATGAATCACATTCGCCGGGAGCATATTCCAGACGCGTATTCCCGTCGTGCACGAGAAAATTCGAACTTTATATTCGTCTTATAACTCGCGTAAATCCACGTCGCTGCTCTCTGAGATTAATCGCGAAATCTTGAGGACGAGGCTCGAAGGGATGGGGGAATAATGAAAAATTGCCATAAAAATTTCTCTGCGAAATTACGGGGGAGGGAAAAGCGGAAAAAAGAAATTTTCGGTGTCTTCTTGTTTTCAAACAACGGATCGAGATGTGATCGTCGTAATCTTCAGGTTCGTGCGCGATCTTCAGGTTCGATTCTTTTTGATTATTTTTTATGTATGTTCATGTAAATATTCCAAGATTCTATTTCCAATTTTTATATTTTACAATTTTATATTATTATTAACAATATTATATTATATTATTTATTAACAATATCACGATACGAGTTTGATATTAAGTAAGTTTCTTTCGATGTGATTATGAATATATTTTATATATTGCTTGAAACTCGCGAGAAATATCGATATCACGCTAATTACTATTATCGGGTTAAAGTTGGAGTTGATATACACAGGTTATCGGATTTTTATCATCTATTTTTGCTGTTTCACGGCCTTGAAAAGACGCCCCGCCGAAGATATACGCGCCGTTGCGATGGCGAAAGCGTTGTCAGACGTGTTTGCAACGCTTAATTACCGGCTTCTTGTCCTCGGTAATGAGCCACCGATGCTGATGTTCTTCTTTTTCGAGCACACGCGTCATGGTATTAATTAATTTGCTTTTTTTTTTTTTGATTTTTTTTTAAAACGAGGATGGATTCTTTTGATGAAATTCGAGGACGAGGAAAATTTTGAACGAAGATTAAATTTAATCTACCGATGAAGGTATTAAGATAGGGATAAGGGTAGTTTGTAAGGGTATTTATGTTAGATTTTTGAAATGATAAACTATATTATTTAATTAGAAAACCGGATGCATACATTATACAATGTATTCCTGTTCGAATTTGTTGCAATTGAAAAGAAAAAAAAAAAAAAAAGAGAAACTATCAACGAGAAATGATAATTATTTTTCTTTCTACTTTCCCAATAAAACTTATTAAAAGTTTAAAAAAATCAAATACTAATTCATCTAATTTTATTTAACACGAATTAAAAATTATTATTTTAACATAAGTCGAAATTTAGTATTACGAAGAAAATGAAAATGCACGATATAATTTGAAAGATACTCGGTTTCTTTATTAAAACGTAGGGTATTACCCCTCCTACGCAAACTCTAATTACTTATTCCACGGCAAATCGACAACCAAGCGCGAAAAAATAATAATAAACAAGGCAGCACGCGATCGTACGAAAATGTACAATCATTCAACTCGAGGCAAATCTTTGTCTCGAAGCGGAATCTCCTCTGCCCCGTAGAAAATATCCCGAAGGACCATTAGAGCGTATAATGGGCCACGATTAATAGTGCATGTAACCCCGTACACGCGTGCAGGAGAGTACGAACTCTCTCATCCCGTGGGGAAAACGTCAAGCGGTGAACCAATGTTTGACGATGACGCCGATGTTACCCTTCAAAACTGTCACTTCATCCCCCGACACTTAGAGTACAATCAAGTTCCATTTGTCCGCTCGCCTCCCCACGGAGCAACCCTCTCCCCTCCCCCATCCCCCTCGCACCCCACCACGCGAGAATCGAATTAATCTCGTCTCTCGTCTTTTTCCTTTTTCTCTTTTTACTTTCTCCCTTTCACTTTCTTTTTTTTCGTTCTCCTGATTTCTCTGGAACCGTGACGTGTAATAGCAAGCATAGAAACGATAAATCGAGTTGTCGATCGTGTGAAGGATTTTTTCAACGTCCGAGGGCTTCCATCCTTGCGAATTTTACTTTTAAATGGGCGGATATCGATTTCGAGGTATGGTCTCTGTTCGAGAGACGGGTTTTCTGGCCCTTTCTTGATTATTTTCTTTTTTTTCGTCGGGTATCGCGAGCTGAAATTCCTCTTATTCGTTTTTTATGTCGCTCTGGTGTTTCTAAAATTACCAGTTTTTGTTTTTATATCGGATTAGTACATTGATTTATTATTACAGTAATAACAGAATGTTTTTCTTTTTTCTTCGTGTTATACGAATGATTTTAAGGGGAGTTTTGATGTCACGTAATTCGATATTTTGAAAAGAGGTTAAAGTATTAATAAGAAATGGGGGAGATTGATATCACGAATAAAATAAATAAACTTGATACGGTTTTATTCGAGAGAATTTTATTCGAGCAAATTTTTATAGGAATCCGTTCCATTTATAAAATTATTTTAATTGATTTTCCATTTGAAAAGCAATTTAAAAACTTATGCGAAAACGCGTTCTTTAATTTATTGGATTTAATTTCAATACGTTTATATTTATTGCAATACGTACGCATTAAATAAACAAACCTCTATCGACGCTAACAAACGCAATAGCTTATTTTACAAAAATGATATTTATTTTATATATTAATATCACGACACAAATGCTACGCATTAAAGTATCGCATGAAAGGTAATTCTTCTCGACGAAATTTTTTTATTCGACGAAATTTATCTTCGAGGAATAAGAAAGCGCGAAAAAATAAATAATCCTTTCGTTCCTTTGTTTCCACTTTTGTCTCTTTCACCGATTAAATGCCTCGAGTGTCAAAACATTCCGCGAGCAATCATTTCCCTTCTATTTCTTTTCTCGATTAATAAATCGAGGCACAACCTGTTCCCTTTTAAAGCTCGAGGAGCCAAGAAATTATTATGGTAACAGCTTACATCGAGAACGACGAAAGAGAAAGAGGGGAAAGAAAAGAAGCAACGAGCAACGCGACGAAGATGGAGCAAGAAGCGGTTAGGATGGGGACTGAAATTAAAAGTCGAAAGGATTTCCCTTCGCGTTTCACGGTTAACTGATTCTACGGAGGAACCGAGTGGACATCAGTAAATTTAGAACCCTTGCAACTTTCTTCTGAAAGTTTATTCGAAAGCTCCACTCCTAGAAATGAATCGATGTAAACACGGAGACGGTAGAGAACGTTTTTTGCGGAATTGGAAGCATTTAATTAATAAACCTTTTTTTTTCCTTTGGAAATGCGAAAATTTTGTTGAAAAATTTGGTGAAATTATTTGGAAAGGAAAATTATTTTCGTAAAATAATCTAGGAATCTAATAATCTCTCGTTTATATTTTTCTTTTTATTTCTTTCTTTTTTCGATAGGAGAATTATTATTAAATTATTATTATTATTATTATTAAATTAAAAATTAAAAAGAAATTATTATTCTCCTTTTAAATTACATAAAATGGGGAATTTAATAATTTGTTTATTAGATATCGATAAAATTAATTATTAAAATTCGTCTTCGTTTTTCTAAAGATCAAAAATACCTTTTCAATTTCGTCGCATCCACTGTCAACGAATAAAATCAACATCGAAAAGTCACGTTACTCGAACATCATTTAAAGATCAGTGTTACTATGGGAAAGTGGAAAAAAACGAGATAGAAAAAGAGGGTAAGTAAACGGCGATTCCTTGTCGGTGTAGTGCAGTTAGTCTGCTAAGGGATGATCGCGCAGTTAGTCAGCCGTTTCCGGGTAATCAATCACCTCTTCGCAGTCGAGGTTTTACCCAGGGAAAAAATGAGATCCATTGGCCTTGGTAACTTTGATGAGAAAAAAAGTTACGTAAAGCCTATGCTAGGAATATTCTGCCTCGTCAATCGATAGAAAAAAGTCCTTGTCCGTCATATCGAATCGATTCAACGTGAAATATTATGTCGAATTGAGTAAACAAGATCGACTCGATCATTTTGAATATCTTAATTGAGTTTAATAATTACGAGAAAGAATGTTTCAAATAAAAATTGAAAAACGTAGACGAAGAAAGTATAATCTTTTAATAATTCTTTTGTGGACACGAATTATTTTTAAATGATTTATTATATTATGATATTTAATGAATTAATATTACGAGACATATTGTTTCATATCTATAAAAATTTATTAAATTTTCAATCGAAAATTATTGAGAAGAGACGCGATAGAACGATTCTATATATGTACATGGAACCATTGTTTTTTTAAATTTTCATCGCTATTTTAATTAAAATTAATCAAAATAGGAGCTCATATTTATCAATAAAACTCATACAAAATCATTCAACGTTTTCAATCCATAGAAATTTATCAAAAAGTATCAAATTTTCCTCGCTAAACGACCCCCTCCATTAATCAAACAACATTCTTCGCCCTTAAGATTAAGCACTTTCACGATAAAAGCCCCCTAATCCTCAATTTAAAATTCGATTATCGTAACGCCTAAACGGCGAAAGTTTAAAGGCTGTCTCGCAACAAGGTTTATCGAGATTTCCAAGCAAAACTTAAATTGCGTGTCGAAGCAGCCGCAATCCGATAATTTGCAAACAGAGAGACGCCTCATCCTTTCGCGATCTTTAATAAAACGAAACAGAAACGAACGTTTTGTGGAGAGCTAATAACATTTCCCGCGAGTCCAATTACATTTCCTTCCGTTATTCCGGTGTACGAAGCCGGAAGCAAGGAAAAGAATGGGGTAACTAGTTGCATTACGGCCACTTCCGGTTACGAGCTCGCCTCTCTGCATGCACGCGCCTCATTTAATTTAGCGGACCAAGATTCGACGGCAGACAGTCATTTCGAGTAACTTGGATACTTTTTCACAATTTTCCGCTTTTTTCACTATCTCGAGATTATTACGGATAAGTTATGCCGCTGTAATATCCCGATTCTGAAAGAATTTTCCCGATTATGATGATGGCGCATTGTGCAAAGTAATAGAGGATGATGAGCGACTAGGATTGAAGAGTATCGTGTTCGTGGTTTTGGATGCAGAAGCTGCATCCTTGTATTTTATCTTCATATTTAGAAAGCGTATGGAAAGTATTACTTGATCGTTAAATTTTTAATGTTTCTAAACGCAAAATTTATGAACGTGCAAAAATATATATTTGGAAAATTTGAAGTCTTTGAATTCTATTTAAATTTAGTTAATATTCTCGTTAAAAAAAAAAATAATAAAAACCCATAGAAAATAATATATATTCAAAATGAAAATCTTCATCATCCTCTTTCTATACATATGCATATATATATTTTTTTATAAAATTAGAAATTTTTCCTCGATATCGAATCATCGAGGCCGAGGAAAAAGAGAAGCTTTCAGAAGCTCTGTAACCGGCAATTAGTCGGAAAAGTTGCAGAAGCTCGACTCGGAAAGGGGATTTCTCGCTGGCGCAATTAAAAAACCGCGGCGAGATGCGCCGGAAGTTCCGCGACGGTGAAGCAATTCCGGCCTACTCACCGTGTTGTACGAACTACAATCCGCTCTACTGTTCCGGGATAATTACATTTTTACCCCGGCTATACCCTTCCCAACTCTTATTTGTTTTACGCGGCCTACTTTAAAGCGTTTAAAAAAGATAGGGTTGACCCGTTTCGCGATATTAGAGACGCAGCACTTTCAACTTGTTTAAATATTGGTAATTCGTAGATTGATTTAACGTGGAGATCGACGGAGTTATTAAAAGAATTTTTACGTCAATTTTTCCCCTTAATTTGAAAAGATAGAATTTCAAAGATTAAATATAAGATTAAATCAAAGTGGAGTAACTCGAGATCTCCACAATTGAACGATAAAACATTTGCCATCAAATTTTCAAATCTAAAAGAACAATTGATTTAAATAAGGATAAATAATAAAATAAGAATTATGAATCCTTATTCAAATTTAAAAAGAATGATAATATATCATAGATTTAAAGTAATTTTTGAGAATAGAAAATTTGTATAAGAAATGAATATTAATAATTGTTAATGAATACTCTTTCTATTCACGACTCTGTCTTACTTGCAAAAGTGTTTGTAATAATTTAAGGAACCAATTTCCAGGATTGGCTTAACACCAAACAGCAACGTATGGGTGGGAGCATGGTGGATAGGTTTCCTAGCGGCTGCAGTTTTATGTTTCATAATCGCTATACCCATCTTAGCGTTTCCTGCAGCTTTGCCTGGTAATTGAATTGTGAAATATTTTACAACACACACTATACTATATAATAAGATTACCATTCTTTAAATTATTGTTTCAGAAATTTCATAATATCCAACGCATAATCTCAAAACACTTACACTGAAACAATACACAATATCAACAAAACTTTAATAATTATAGATCTAGATTATAGATCTAGATTTAATAATTATAGATTCTATTTACAAATTTCCATTCAAATTACAATCATTCAGATATACGTTCAAATAACAGTCCTATCCACACAAATTTACATGAATAAATATCTCTTTTTCAGGTTCAGAGAAATTGGCTAAAGAGAGGGTGTCAGAGGCGCACCAAAGGAGCACCAGAAAGCAATCGTCCTCGAGCGATCGAGGAGAGGCATTCTCGAAAATACGAGAACTGCCTCGCGCCCTGACCGATCTGCTCGGTAATCCTGGCTTTTTCATGTTAAATCTGGCAGGTGCCAGTGAAGGATTGCTTATCGCCGGTTTCGCCGCTTTCCTCCCCAAGCTGATCGAAAATCAATTCAACGTCAGCGCTAGTTCCGCCGCGTTACTAATGGGTGAATAATATTCAAGGATTCTGTTGTAATCAATCAAAGAAAGAAAGAAAGAGAGAGAGAAAAAACGAGAGAAACAACCTCGTGCGCCTCTCGTCAATCGCAACGCGTAATCATCGACGATATTTCGTCAAATACCTTTCTCGAAACATTTTTTATCCCTCTCTCTCTCTCTCTTTCTCTCTTTCGTTAAAATATCGACTGAACGATATGTTACCATCAATTATTCGCACGTATGTCGCGAGATATAAATCATCCTCGATGTTTTTATATTTCGTATGGAATATTTACAATTGACTAATGTTTCGACGTAATTTTCGTGAAATTTCGATAGCATCGAGAGGAGGACACGCTATTCGAAATGGGATACCCTTTCATCCTAATTTTATTACCTAGATTTTTTTCTTTTTGCTTGCAGGTTTGGTAACTGTACCCGCAGGCGGTGGAGGTACCTTCCTCGGTGGTTACCTCATAAAGCGTTTTAATTTGCCCTGCTCGGGCATTTTAAAGTTCTGTCTACTAGCCACCGCATCCTGCATCGCCTTCACTTTGTGCTTCGTTCTGAATTGTCCGAATTTAAACTTTGCGGGAGTCACTATACCTTATTCGAACCAGACCAAGTAAGTGATTGCTATTTATATATATATGTATGGGCGCGCGAAATTCTGTTTACTTGTAAAAGTAATTTCAACAATATAAAATTGGATATTTGAAACTTCATTTTATAATTAACTCTAAAGCTAAAATTTTTGGGAAAATATGTCACTACTTCACGAATTTGCATGGTATTTATCGAGGATTTCATATTTTATTTCATTTTTCCTATGTCTGTGATTTTATTCGTTCTCATGTGTACATAATAGATCTCCAAATTCATATCTGCTGATATTAATTTTTGTTTTTTCTTTCTTTTGATAATAAAACTCCATATTTATCTGAAAATTGATTCTACATTGCAGTATAAATATAATTCATATATATTAAATGAAATTTAACGATTTTTCATACTATCTATTAATTTCTATTGATTTCTCATTTAAATAAGAGAAATTCACATTTATATAGGTAGTTTCTAATAATGTATTAACTAAAACTTCATTCAAATAAATAAAGTTTCTATATTATAATCATTTTTAGTTTTGTAAAACAAATATTTTATAATTCACTGCTTCATTTTATTGAATGATATTTTTAATATGATATTTCTATTGAATGATATTTGAAATGTATTTAAGTTAGTCAATTCACCATTTTATATAAAAATTAAAAATGAAAAGAATTAGAAAATTAAATCAGAAACTTGAAACAAATGGATTTATACATAGACCATAATGTAACTATTATATGATAAATTTCAAGATGCAAATAAATATCTATAATAAGCAAAAAATTTCATATTTACAGAAAAACTTTTTCATTGGATAACACGTGCAATAATGGCTGTGGCTGCTCGAGATCAGAGTTCAGTCCAATATGCGGAGTTGATGGAATCACGTACTATTCCCCTTGTCATGCAGGATGTTATCAAGGAATGCGACTAAATAACGTCGAAGTCAGTATAATTTCTTATCGTACTTAGTATGCAAGCTTATGAAAGTCTAATCCATTTCTTGAAATCATAAAATAAATATTTGTCTTAACCTTTGGAATTCGTGATGTATATATTTTATAAAAATCTATATTCATTGCAAATCGGAAATAAATATTTATATTCAGTTAAAAATTATCAGTCATTAAATTAAAAAAAAAAAAAAATGAAGCTCAATACTGATTATATGTCAATATAATCATATTTATCGATATTACATTTTATTATAAATATTTATTTTTCTTTGAACTAAATGTTTATATTTCTATATCTTATAATTTATCTATTTCTAAAATACTATTAAAATTATTTTTATTTTTTATATTTATTTTATAATTATAATCATTATATTAAATAATTACTTTCAAAAACCTATGATTTGCATAAAGTCAATGGGATACTACATTTTTATTTACAAACTTGTCTCTAACGATTTTCAATTTTATGAAATAAAATTCGAAATTAAAATATTGAGCTCGAAGAATGATAAAAATTCTAACAATTTTCAAAAGCACAAAATTCATATCTATGAATCTTTAAGATTAATTCCAAATAATTATATAATAATTTATTTAATATTTTTCCTTATTATTTTACAGATATATACAGACTGCACATGTATACGAGCACCACCAATGAATCTAACTACTGCAGATAGTGTGATTAGTTACGAGGCAATAAACACTACTTGCAGCACATCGTGCTCTTATTTATGGCCGTTTATCGCTTTAGCATTTTGCAACATGTTTATAACCTTTCTTTGCACAATGCCTGCACTTTCCGCGACACTTCGCGTCGTTCGAGACGATCAAAGATCGTTTGCCTTAGGTATACAATGGATCAAAGTTAGAATTCTAGGCACAATACCAGCACCTATGGTGTTCGGTGCTCTCATAGATGAAACATGCATTTTATGGAACAAAACTTGCGACGGCGAAGGATCCTGTCTCGTTTATGATAACTTATACATGAGCAGGTATGATAAAATTAATTATATTTGAATCTTTAAATCGTATTAAATACTTTCGAATTTGTTACTTATTCAAAAAAATTATAAAATAAAACTACCTCCATGCTTGTATATCTTCGTTTAATTATTTCTATATCTGTAGAAATCGTTCCAGACTTGATTATGGCGTCCTCTATAATTTCACTAATGGCCACTAAAGATTAGAACATTCATTCAAATAAAATTGAAATAAAAATGGCGGTTTTAACGATTAGAATTTAAGATTTATTATTTTATAATATTTTGTAATGCAAATATTACTATTTGTATCTTATATAAGAATTATAATAATTAAATTGTAAACTATATTATATTTTTATTAAAAATTCACTTTCATCATGCAAAATCAGGCATTTACAATCGTGCAAAAATCAATGAACATACCTTGTTTCAGATATATGCTAGCATTAGCTTTCATCGGCAAAGCAGCATCCCTTCTTTTCTTTTTCCTGGCTTGGTGGACTTATATTCCTCCAGGAAGCAGAAAAGTTGCACAAAATTCGCGGGAAGAGCCTACAACGACATTTGTGTTAAACGACACTCAGCATGAAGCGCCAATCTCACCAGCAACAATAAATCCTATAATTGATCCGTAAACAAAAAATTCTAGTATTCTAATTATGTTACCTTAAAAATATCACTAATAATCATTATTTAATACAAACTTTTAATGTTTGCCAAACTTACCAAAAGAAATAATCGAAGAAATGAATTTTAAAGAAATTTCTTGTACACTCTCACTCCACTGAAACTAGATGACACTATGTGCTAGTCTATTAAATCGAGTATCGATACTGCGACATCTATCTTCGATTTGATAGGTACTTTCTTAATGGAGGGATATTTAAAAAATATTTCAGTATATAATTATACATTTTTAATAATTTTATTTATAGTTTATTGTAAAATAACTATTAAAAGATTGAAATATAAATGGAATAGATAGATATTTATTTAATATTTTTATTCATTAATATAATCGTTTATAACAGGAGGAAATAATTTCTCGAATAATTTATAGGGAAATTTATAAAAAGCGTGATTATTTATTATTGTTGTAATGTTAAGTAAAAAAATATTTGCACAGAAATGACGTATATAAATATAAGTAATATAAAAGTAAACTAAATTGAAATCAATGAAACTCGAGTGAAGCTATTTATTTCGAGAGTTGTTGATTCGTAAAATTGTAGATACATTTATACGGTTTGCTATAAGTAAGTAGAATATTTCGTATAAGAGCTATCACTGCCAATTGTAAAGAACGTAACATTGTTTTTAATATCGTATCAATAATATGTCTCGTTTTTTAACGAGAGAACTATAAATACCAATTATGAGATATAATGGGCAAGTGCACTTGTAGTCCTTTTCGATATTTATTACTACCCAATGGAATATTTCATTTATGAAATTACGATTTTATATGATATGAATAAGAATAAAAGAATAACGGATAAACATTTGCTTAATATATTACTACGCTTTCTGTATTGTTCTATAAAAATTAATAATTGCAGTTAATTATTGTATCAAAAAAGACTATTATGATTATATAGAATTATAGAACAATATTATCCTATATTATATCTGATCTGAATGTAATTTCAACTTGTGTGACATCCTATAATTGTATTCTTAGTATTAACTGATTGTCAATTAAATTCAAAAAATGTATTTATCACAAAGGATAGTCGATGTTTAAGGTAAAAAAAGAAATTATTCATCTTATTTATGCAATATATAATTGTTATACGACCAGCTAAATTATTGTAGCACAGAAATTCCTCTGGAAAACATTGTTTTTTCATAGAATTGATACCATATTTGTATAATGTTATTACTTGTATAAAGAATATTATCTATTATCTAAAAAAGAAAAAAAAATAGATCAAGCTCTATTATGAATTGATATTTATAATAATATATATAATTATAGATACACATAGTTGCAAGTTTTGGTATCAATCCTAGCATATCCCATTCACAAGTTGAATAAAAAATATATTACTTTAGAAAATTTTATACATTAAAATTTGATATCATATTTAACAAAATGTTTTTTCAGGTTTAATGCATAAGATAAGAAATGAAAACGGAAAAAAAACTATATATTATTTTGATATTATAACTAATTGAATTATACCAAAGGTATCAATATCTACTTAAAAATTATGAATGTCTGATCGTACAAATTTTATCATTCGATTATAAGAGAATTTTGAAACATTTAAATGTTAAAAAATTATATCATTTCTTATGAATATTTGTCACAATAAAAATGCGGCAATCAAAATAGAAATGCTTGAAATATCTGTGCAAATAAAGTACATGGCCGTATAAAATGTCATTTATATTAGTTTGATATGAAAAATTTTGTGCGATTTGTAGTTGTAATTATTTTTGTTATAAAATATTAATATGTTAAACACGTGTATATACGTGTCGCTAATAAAAAGTTAGTGAAATATGTTAATTATTTTGGTTTCTCTTATCTTCTCCATCCATTGGTTATAGAAAAATCATAAAATCAATAATAATATTTACGTCAAAACTTGTTCACATGCTTAAAATACAAATACTAGTAGCTATTTCTGTAATTACTTACGTGTTCACGTAATATGATTGCCAGATAAAATCATATGATTACATTATAATTTACGTAATAAATGTTGAATAATTCTTGATACTCAAAGTTATATATTTTTTTTTCTTATTATATTAAAAATAATATCTTTATTTTTTTACTTTAATTGTTTACTTAAAGTTAACACAGTTTAATCACAGATGAGTAGTTTTTAGTTTATAGGTTATGTACAGTACATACAAGTTAAATGTAGAATTACATTCAACTGTAGTTACATGAGTGATCACCTTTAGATACAATCGCAAACATATTTATCGACTGTTAGATTATTACTATTTTAAGATTCTTTTTTATTTTTATATATAAATTATATATAATTGCATATAATGAGATTAAAATTGTGAATAAATTAGAATGTTTAATTATTAAGTACAAAATAATATTCTATTAACGATTTATACGTTGTATATTGTTATATGCATTTATTATTATATCATATATAATATTATTAATAATATTATTACATCATAAATAAATATAAAACGTTATATAATATAATTCTTTGTTATATATAATAATAATTAATATATATTTATTTTATATAATTATCTCATTATATGATATAAAAAAAAATATTATAAAACTGTTAATCAGCTGGCCTCTTGGTCTAGGGGTATGATTCCTGCTTTGGGTGCAGGAGGTCCCGGGTTCAAATCCCGGAGGGGCCCGATTTTTTTTATACTAAAATTTATATTTTTAATATTTACATTTAAATAAATAATTATAATATATGCGTATATATGTAGAAAGGTATTTTTCTTTTGTATTTAAATATATATATATAAAATGTAAAAATAATATATATAAAATTTAATAGTAAAAATACAAAAAATATACATAAAAATATACATTTTTAATTATATAAATAAAATTTAATTTATAAAAATATTTCTTTTTTTTTTACAAATTTTTTTCATTAAAATATAAAAAATATACATATTTTTAATTATACAAGTTAATTTTAAATTAAAAATGTATAAAATAAGATTCTTTTTATTCTTCATCATTTTTTTATTTTTCATTAACTATTAAATAATTAATGTTTTAGGAGCATCATTAGCAAGCACGAATTCCAGACCTAAATTAACAACTTTAAATTGCGCGCGATATATTTTCCTACTCCCAAGAAAGTCAAGATGGCGGCAACGCCAATGCGCATGCACCAGTTCCTGAATGGTCGGGCAAAAACACAGCTGGTCTATGATCTCCGAAGCAAGCTGACGGTTGAACGCTATCAATGTGATTTTCGTGAAATTCTTACCGATCTACCGGTCAGATCGTGAGGTCAAGGCAAGCGTGCGTGAAAATTTATTCAGTGCTCGATTTATAGTGTTAGTGAGTGTGTTTAGATGTATGCAAAACTTGTTAATCGCGGTGTCACCACGAGGATTTTTCACTGCCCTGGATACAAAGGAGTTTCGTGAGGTGCTTCGAGCGTCCTTTCGGTAAGTTTATAATTTCTACTTGAGAATTTGTCGCATCGTGGTTTTCTTCATCGCATGTGGTATCGAATTTTTAATCAATCCATAGAGCCAAGTGACCTTTTTCAATCTACCGAACGTCTATATCGCGTGTCTACATAATTTTCTTTGATTCTATTTTTTATAATAACAATTTCTATAAGAAATCGAGCAAAAAAACACAAAGTTTATCGTATATTTCGTAAAATAAATTCTAAAAAAATTTGCAGTCGAAACGATATTTCAATTAACGTAAAGGATACGGCATACAGCATCTTTAGAAATAGGTCAGAATAAAGTTTTCGTAATCTAGTCATAAGATTCTGAACAGGTATCGCCTGTTGAGAAAGAAAGAGATTTTTATCGTGAGTTATCTCTTTGCATATGGGATTCTTGAAAATGAGCTATCTTTGTTATCTTACACGCTTGCCGAGAATTATACTTCTCCATTCAATTTTTTGTTTATTACGCAGCGTGTTCCTGTACATTGTAGCTGTTTACTATCCATAGACGAGAAATTTCCAACATTGTGAAGAATATTCTATGCATAACAGGATTCTTATGGTAAAAGGATACATCTTGAAATTTTAATCTTCCTTTTGTCGTCCGGTCGCCGTCGTCGTCGCTCGTTTTCGCTGATGTTTACATGTAAACACAGCTGTGCCATAATTCCATGGATAACGTTATCGTGCCACCGTAGTATCTATATATCGAGGTCTTGAACCTCGGCGTCTGCACAACTATTTTTATATCCTCGATGTACTCTGTCACCGCGCGCGCGGCATCGGACGAGAGAGGAATCCGGCTGTTGTCGAGCGGTGCACAACCGTGCTACAGTCCTTAGGACTTTGACCTTGTCCTATGCAAAATGATACCTCTCATTCATCATACTTTTAATCGGTGTGCCAATTAACGAATGGACAATTCTACGGCGACAAGTAACAAACCGATTATTCGCTAATCATTGTTAAAAATACATTTTCCGTTTATTTCTTTATCCTTTTCATTTCATCTCATTTGATTCGATGTCTTTCATTGTATTTGTCTCTTTCTTTTTCACCCTTATTGTTTCATGGTATCGATGCCATTATCGTTGAACTTCGGACGTTTACTTTCGATCTCCAGTTTTTCAGCATCGATCGGTGCATACACGTATTACACAGCACGGCAGAATGGCTTAGCTACCGATATCCATATATATAAGGTGTTTCAGAATGAGTGCGTGAAATTCATTATTATTCATAAACCTGTCTTCAATATTAGTTAAATCATAAATTATATTTTTGATACTTTTAAATTATTCTAACGTAATATAGTATAAATAATATAATATAAAAAATTCAATATTATTTCGAGACTATATATCATAGTAAATAAATCGATTCAAACTAATAATAATATATCGTTTGGCAGCATATGATCAGCAATACCAAAAATAAAGAGCAGCTCATTCTTTTCGAAATGTTAATTTCAACTCGCCAGCTGTTACCATTCGATACCAGACTCTTAGTTGTAATTAATCGGTTTAAAAATGCACACCCGTTCATGACACAAGATTATGGTATCAGATTTTGTAATGTGCGTATTTCACTCGAGATTCAATTCTGTATGTTCGTGAATTTTCTCGATTAAATTTCAATTGGTAAATTTAGCTACGATATGCAGAATGCAAAAGAAACTATCAAAAGTTTTTCCGCTTCCGTCAATTGGATATTTTTATCGATTACTTTTTATGTAATATTTCTAAATAAAATATTAACGTAATCTCAAATAACAATAATAATAAAAAAAATTTAACGAACCTGTTACAATTTCAAAAAATAAAAAAATAATTACTATATTGTATTTCAATACAATATTGCATTCTGCACAATAATTAACACATAAAAAATTTGACCACTTACTATAGAGTATAGTATTAGAAGTAAATCTATTGACCAATCAACGATCATGAAGTTAGACTAGAAACAAAAAAGTTCGTCTTTAATCTGCGACAGAAATTTATTTCACTAGAAATGGTATCTCATTTGAGCAAGTTTGCAGAAAGCAAAGGAAGAGAAAGAGACTAAAACGAGCATATAAAAGTGGAAGCGAAAGCGAAAAAATTTTTTCAATTTTTGTTCACTGAAAGAAAAATTGTATGTATTTAACAGATGTACAGATATAAATTTTTGATGAGCGGGTCGGATCGTAAATTCTTCTGTTCCCCATATATTTTTTATAAGAACCTCGTTGTATCCTTAAACTTCGAGGGTTAGATATTTTGTGCGAAAATATATGAGAGGATTCATTTTAACCTAACGAAACTTCACAAATTTAGTAGTGACCTCTATAAATTCTATGGTATTCGTGCATCACGGAAAGATGTCGCTCTGACTTGCGCGATTTAGTAATTCGCCGGTCGAAAGATTCGATCTGTGGACATATTGAAATCGAAAGTCACGTAAGCACGCGTGTTTCGTTAATAGTGAGCTTGATTCTTTTTTTGCGACTCTTGCATTTCTTCTTCGCGGTTACGTAATAGTTTTTCGTGCCTGTAATCATCCTTAGAGTGCAGTATCTTCAAAATAGAATGGAAGAAATGACCGAATTAATTTAAGCGTGGTCTGCCTGGTCAGCGTCAAGCGAGCTGACTTCAAATGCCGCCATTACTTGTCATTGTAACACGATGACTTTCACAATGGCCCGTTATATTTGAAAGACTTCAAAATTGTTATTCTTTTTTTCATGTTGAAAAATGGATTTGTCAATTTTTCAGGTAGGATAAATTAGGAGGATTTTTATATTTTATTATTTGTATTTGAATAGGTGTATATATTCTTAATATAATTATTAATTGCATTTTATAGATTTTTTTGAATTTAGATATTCAAATTTAATATAATGAATATTTAAACTGAATTTGATGTTGCTTAATATTATCGATGCTCTTTTAAATATGATAGTATTCAATATTTCATTATGGATGCTTGACCATTGGAAATGTGCAATAAATGTAGGACAATAAATCATGGCGTAGCCTAGTTTTTTATCGTACGATTTAAACTATTAGCTGTGCATATAAATGACATATGTGATCGTATTGTCAATTATATATTTATACATAAATTAGATGCACTAATTTATGTATAAATGACCCATTATTTATTCCTTCTTAATTGTCTTGTCATTGTTGAATATTAATATTATTTTATTAATTTTTTAAATTTATAATAAAATCGTCATAATATTTAAAAATGTTATTAGACTTGCTTGAAACCAATTTGAAACTATATTACATTCCTTTTAATATTTTATAAGATAATTATAATTATATTATTCGAGAAAAGTTATTTTCGATGAATAAATATATATTTAATTGTATTTATTTTTTGTATCAATCTAATAAAAAATGATTATTAATGAATAATCATTTTTTATGAATATTTACGAATCACAATTTTAATGCGACCCATCTGTGTAGCCATATGGTTTTTTTATTGTATTTTTTATTGTTTCTGCGTATACCTAGTAGAGATTGAATTTCTGCATACAGTGTATGCAAAAAATTTTTTACTAAAATACTTTTAAACATTTATATATAATTTTTTTTATTAATTATATTAATTAATAATCATTACTTTCTATTATATTGTGTGTCTAAAAAATCCTATATTCTATTAAAAAACTTTGCTAGTTTTAGGATAT